GCAGCTCACCTCAGGGGAACATAATTAAGAGGGCTCTGGTTTTCTGGAGGGAAAGAATTAAATAAATTGTGAAAGCACAGTAATAATGAATGGGATAACAGGACCATGAATAGGTCTGCAGTCTTTGTGCTTGTCTGTTCTGGGAGGAAGGATGTGCCTAGATGAGCTGTGCTGTCTGTCCCAGGTCGGATTCCATACCAGGGCAGTTGGAGAGCCTCTTGGGCCTCAGAATGGAGAAGCCCTCAGCAAGACACCACAAGCACATCCTTCCCAGCTGTATGACCTTGACAAGTTGCTCCACCTTTCAGAGTGTGTTTTCTCACCAAGAATGAGGATAAATAGCACTGTCTTGCAGGGTTGCCTTGAGAATTGTGTATGCATTGCATGAAAGTGGCTGGGTATAGTCACTCAATAATATCAATTCCTTTCTCCCTTAGGATTCAAAATAAAGATACTTGTCAGGTAAAGGTCATTACATTGTCATTGCCTTGACACCAGCAATGAAAGAAAGAAGAAAGAGTAGAGTACGCTGCGCTCTCCCAGAATATAACTGAGAAAGTCAGGTAGTACAGTAATTTCCAGAGAACAAAGGGCCAGTGTAGACGTACCCTATTCTGCCATTCAGAGATGAACAATGGCATCCCACAATTATTGTCAGTCTCATAGCAGTTGTGACACAGTTTTTATGCCCACCTATGCATGAACTTGATCATAACTGCTAATATTATGATTGCTTTAACTTAATTATGGTTGTTGTTGATTTTGTATGTGTTGTGTTGATTAGCATTTAAACCATCTACAAAATGGTTCTGAGATCTGCCTTGGAATCTAAAGACCTGTGAAGGTTGCATAGAAACCCGGTGTGGTTGCCCTTAATGAGGCAAGAGCATTTGTATCCGTGTGTTCTAAAAGGTAGCACACAAACAAGGACAGTGGTGGACACATGGATACTGATGTCCTGGATAAAGAAAATTATTCAGATAAGTAGGCCTTCCAATGTGACATCTTTAGGAATAGGTCACCAAATTTATTTTGCATTTATTTTTCCTTTTATTGTATGCCTAGGAGTGAGAAAGGAGTGTTTAAATGTGTCATCCTAAGTGGTCAGAAAGTAACAAATCACCAAGTTGTCCATTATACTTAAAAAAAAAAAAAAGCAAGGGCCTCTGGGAGAAAGTGACATGAAATTCTGCTGAACAATGGAGTGCACGGGTGCCAAGAGTATGTGTCCACAGTGCAGCTGTGTAGAGGAGATAGGACTCAGCACTTCTGATGCTCATGAAATAGCCATTCCCTGATGGCCTGCCAAGCTGCCCATCAGGACCTCAGATGAACAAGAAAACATTGTCTGAGCTGGGCATAACAGCTTACATACAGCTGTGATCTCAGTACTCAAGAGGTGGAAGCAGAAGGATTCCCATGAGTTTTCAGCCAGCCTGAGCTATAGTGAGACCATCACAAATAATGGAGGGAAGGAAGGAGGAAGGAAGGAAGGAAGGAAGGAAGGAAGGAAGGAAGGAAGGAAGGAAGGAAGGAAGGAAGGAAGGAAGGAAGACCATTGTCTGAGAGAGAGGAGAGGCAGTGAAGGGGTACCAGCCACCATGGGTCTGGAGAGAACGCTTTGGATTTGACAGTCACTTACTGAGTGTCCACCAGTGCTGCTCTGAGCTGTACTACTTATGGAATGTCTCCAGTGTTTGCAGTAATCCTGAAAGATCTCCATGGTACAGGCGATGCCCTTTGGGAAACACCTGGCTAGGGTATAGCAAAAGGTAAATGAAAATCAGTCCAGCCCTTCAATTAGTAATCTCTGTCTGGGAATTCAAGTACTACATATGAAGTTGTTTGATTGTTTTCATTACAATGTTTCTTAAATTAATGAAAAATTAGGAGCAACTTATTGTCTAATTCTAGGAATTGGATTCAATAAATTATGGCCCACCCTGCTAAGTGAAATATTATGCAGCCTTTAAAATAATATTACAGCAGTTATAGAATGATATGGAAAATGTTAGTGTGAGAAATGAGAAAACAATAAAATGCATAAAAGTAATTTCAAAGATATGAAACCATTAGTTTAGGTTAATATTAGGGTGAGCCAAAAATAAGAATAGTTGTGTTCCCTCCCAAAGTTGCCACTCATAGTAAACAGACAAAGAAAAAGATGTCCAAGAAAATGTATAAGTAGTTGCAATATAAGTTATATAGAGAGGGCTGGAGAGATGGCTCAGCGGTTAAGAGCACTGGCTGCTCTTCCAGAGGTTCTGAGTTCAATTCCCAGCAACCACATGGTGGCTCACAGCCATCTATAATGAGATCTGGTGCCCTCTTCTGGCCTGAAGACACACATGGAAGGAATATTGTATACATAATAAATAAATAAATCTTTTAAAAAAGAGTTATATAGAGAATGGAATTTACCTGCAGAACATACTTAGAATCACCCACTTATGTACTTGCCACGTTGAGATGTTAAGGAGGTGGCTTCCTTTTTCTTCCTTCCCCCACCCCCACTTAGAATTTGTAATAACATATTTGTAATGCAAAAAAATGTAGATTCTGGGAAGCATTTGAGGTGTTGGAAGCAAATGATAATAAGCAAAAAATAGATGAAGCTATTTGTCCAGATTCGCTTTCCTGCAAAGCACAGAACTGTGCAGATTTAGAGTGCGTGTGCTTTAAATGTTGTCTAAATACAGACTATGCAGGCCTAACAGTTATTGGCTATGAAGCTGCTTTTCTAGAATACACCATAATTACTCAAAGCCTACCTAGCAGTGTCAAAGAGGGAAACCTACTCTGTTCCTTCAGGCATCTCTAAATCACTTTCATAAGGCTTCCCCCATCTCTTGTCAGGCTCTCGTGTACACTGAAGTAGCATGGCATTAAAACCTACACATTTCCATTTCTAGAGAACGTTTTCTCTTTAGAGAACAGTCTGTGGTTAAATTACACCAGAGGCTTTGGCTGTTGGGATTATTTTTTACCTTTTTATCACAGTTGTTTGACTCTTCTGTCTTCTAATTCACTTGTTGGAATTTTGGTTCTGAAATTCTCTTTGAAACATTGAGTCACTGGTCAGTTATATACTTTGAGTGTAAGCCCTGGGATGTCAATAAGATTTAGTTAAATATTGTAGGCTTGTGCTTCTCTCCCTGTGTCAAGCTCTGGGCACATTAATGAGTGGCCATTTTTTTTCTTTCTGGAATTTTGCACTCTTCCTGCTTCCTTTCATTACATTAGGCAAGGTTCCACTAGATGAGACATTTGCAGTCTTAAGACTTCCTGCCGAGGTTCAGACTTTGTATTTTTGACATTGAAGTTGTCGTGTTTCTGAAGCTACTTAATTAGAAACACATTCATTTTGGTGTACACTGGAGAAAACTCAGGCAGCAAAGCCAGGCACACTGGGAAGCTGAAGTATCTGTGGGGCTGGCAGCTAAGCTAATGGCTTACAGTTTTGGGGCAAAAATATCGCAGCGAATTTCTTTGCCTCTCAAAGCAAAGAGAAGCTTCATATGTCCTGCAGGTATCTTGAAGAGGGGAAAATGAACAGAAGAAGATGCTACAAGAAAAGACAACTCTGTTTCTCTCCAGTTTAGTTTGTTTGTACAGTTCTTTCTTTGGCTATTATCAAATACAAAACCTTCTAGAAGAATTCTCAGGATGTGCAATTAATGTTCAAGTCTATCTTCCAGGCTTCTGAGATACATGACTGCTGAGATCTGTAGTAAGGAGGACATTTTGTATTCCAAAGGATGATTTTGCTTGAAGAATTTTATTTGTTGAACTGTAAAGAGGGAATTGCAACCTTTCTTATTCTTTGAATGTTTGAGCGATTTTTAAGCTTGCATCTAGTATCTAAGAGCGTTAGTTGCCTCCCCACCTATTTCCAGCTGCAGCATGGGCTCCTGGTTTGCAGTCATCCCCTGCCTCATTGTTTCCCCAGGTCTACACCTACTATGTAGATCCTTGTCCCTCCACTGTTACTCCCACAGCCCAGTCCAAGCCAAGTGTCTTGTCTCTAATTTCATTGAAATCTAGTCCTTGTTGGTGTTATAGGGTATATGATATACATGGGAAGACAGCCAGGAAAGTTTCTGTCCTCCCTGCTTTCTGCCCTTCCTCAAGACAAGGTGTGTTTAGCAATCTGGGACCAAGCTGGTCAGCTTGGGCTTACTGCTTCCTTGGCTGTGTGTCATTAGATAAGTGGTCTAGCCTCTTTTCATCAATTTTCTTCTTTGTAGAATGGGGGTTATTATGTGGATTGGAAAAGTGACTGCATATAACCACTATCACATTTATTACCAGAGGGAAACATCATAAATGAATGTATGTATACACACACTCTCCTGAAAATGAAGGACTAGCTACTACAGAATGCCCAGATTTTAGAACCTCTGGACTTACTTGCTCTGCAAAGGAAGCAGATAGTGGAGGTCTCTATTGTCTAGTAGCCTATCCATGTGTGTGCCATAGCATGCAGAAGCTTGCTGAACACTCTCCAAACATCAGGATGTATGTCTTCATTATGGAACATAGCCAGTAAAGGGTGATTCTTCAAAAGCTATTGTGCTCTCTACTCAACCTTCATTTTTTTTCCATTATGATAGTTGGGTTTAATTAGTATCAGCACTTCTGTACTGTATGTGTTTATCTTCATATCTTAACAGTAGTTAGGATTGAGCCAAGAATCCTTTTATAAAGATAAGGTGACTGAGGCCAAGAAGCCGCTTAGCTACTGTTTGGAGTTGGTAGCTGACACCAAGGTTGATGCTCTTCCTACTAGGCGTGCCGTTTCAAGGGTTGCCTACATTTTTATATTCTTTGACGTTTCTAGGCTTGGAAACAAAATGTCACATTAAGATTTTTGTTGTGAAAGGAAATGTAACTGTGCATACGTTTATTAAAACAGCTTTTCTCTAAATAGTGAGCCATCTGTAATTTTCCGTCTGAAGCAACAGACATTAAAGCAGCTGTATGTCTGTTTCTCTTTGCAGTGCTCCCATGCCCTACCTCATAGGAGTCCATTTCAGTCTAATGGAGGTAAGTGGGCCCTGTCCTCCCTGCTTCCTAATATGGACTTCGGTTTAGCCTTGTGTAGCAGAAAAATGGGATCTCAGGGTGTGCAGCTCTGTTCCTAGGAGTGGCTGAAGCAGCTGCTCATGTGCATCCCTAGTCCTTCTCAATTCACAGACTCCATCCATCAGCTTAGACCATTCCAAAGGACTCTGCATTCTGGGCTTTTTTTTGCTGTGGGTGGAGATGGTGGATTTTCCCTGGGTGAATGAAGGATGCTAAGAAGGTAGGAAGAATGGCCCCATTTGGGTTTGGATAATGGAACGGAAAGGCTTTGTTTTTCCTGAGGACATTTATTCCGAATCACTGTAACAGTGTAACATTTTCATGGTAGGAGATGTGATACAAATGGTTTATAGAAGTTATGAAAATTAAAATTACCCACATTGCCATTATTCTAGAATGAACTACTTTTAACATTTTACTGTTCTTCCATTTAGTCTTTATCTTGTAGATGTGTATTGCATATGATGTTATAACTTTACCTATCAGAGCTGTGGTGTGAGAATTCCTGTCTTTTTATCTGACCTCAGTAACAGCAGTTTTCCATTGGTTCCGTCATTCCTACAACTTAACCACTCTCATACCATTGAGCACTTCAGTTGCTGGATTTTTTTTTTTCACTCTTTTAAATAGCGCTTCAGCAAACATCTTTATGCATAAGACTTTATCTGCATTTTTTTATCTGTATTATTTCCCTAGTGCAGAATCCCTAAAGCAGAAATGCTTTGTCAAAGCTGTGGGTCTGCTGCCAGATTGCTTTCAATGTGGCTGTACCAATCAGACAGCAGCACTTTTGGTGGACTTTCTATGCTTTTGTCATGACCCTTAGTTTGTAGACTTGACCTCCCTTTTCTTCCTTGGGAAAGAACAGACATTTGCACTGCCCAGAGCTGGGTGGAGCTGGTCAGCTTGCCCTTGTGGCACAGTGTGGGCTCTGAGAGGACGTCTCCAGCCCTGCCTGCCATGGTGCTTAGTATATCTTAAAGGGAGTGCTACTTCTCTTCTGCTCCTTGCATTTCACATCGACGAGGACCACCTGCTTCGCCACTAACTGTTGCACGCTCTGCTATTGTGCTTACGAAAATGAAATGAGTTGGTTATCGAAAAACCTGTTTGTTTGACATTGAGAATCTTGATCAAAATAGACCACAGAAATCTGCTCAAATTTCTAATTTGACAGGACGACCATGTGGCTCTTACATTCTGTTAACAGTCCCTCCCTGTCATCACCCAGCCCTAAGCACATACAGTTTATGGACTATCTGGGATGATGTATTTAGATCAGACTGAAGAAATTGCTTGCGTGTTTTACCTTTGTTAAGTATGGGGATCTATTCAGAGCTCCCATACAAAAAAAAATTTAAAGTAAATCTTTCTAATGGACCTTGCATGCCAACTGCTTTAGAGTTTAAAGGACTAAAGATTATTGAGTCTATCAGCATCCTCAGTTCCCTCCTGCCTTCCAGTCTGCTCCAGCCCAGGCTTTTCCAGACCCTTCTTGTGTCCTAGTACCTTCAACAAAATATCTGGTCTTGGCTTCCTTTCCTTCTTCTCATGCCCCCCAGCCATCTTGCTTGATGCTCTTTCTTTAGCACTGAGTCCAAATCAGTGATGCTGCTCTGTGAGTATAACACTGCTCTGCTCTGCCTCTCTCTCTGGATTTCAGGTCCAAATTCAAGTACCCACTGAATTTCTTTCCCCAACAGTTTATTATTTGCATGCCAGTGTGGGCATGTACATGCAGACACACATTCTGAACACCCAATTCCTTTCTGATGTTCCCGGTCCTTGAGAAGTACTGCCTGCAGATGCACCAAAGTTGGGGCACACCAAGCATTCTCGATAAATACTCACAAGTCTCTATATAAAGCGTCTCAAATCTCGTTCCGTTCCCACTGTCTTCCTTGGCTCTTTTCCTTGGCTTTCTTAGATTTTTACAAAGCCCAATTCACTGATTTGATAGCAAAATGTGGGCCTTGTATGTTCCAAGCATTGTGCTCGTCTTATAGGTACAAAAATGAGAACAGGGTTCAATCCATAGTCTCATCCTGATGTGGGTTGCCAGGTGCTGTCACTACAAAACACCTTCCATTCTCATTCTACACTGCCCCTGAACTCACCATGGCTTCTCCACTGCTTTCAAGCCTTCTGCCCCCATCACTTTAAGAACATATATAAGCCAGTGCTTAAACTAAATAGATCCTATACATCCCCATAGGTACCCCAGCCCTTCTCTGGCTCTTCCAGGAAGTGTTCTATCTTGTTTATCTTTCATTTGTGGAATCTCTTACTCTAAACAATAGCAGTTTGCATGTCCTACAGTACATCATCTGGGGTATGAATCCTATCCAAGCAAAGACAGCATCATCTTTGGTGTCCATAGCTTCTTTAGCACAATACCAAGCGGATAATATTATCTGAGCCACAGATTCCAAAAAAGGACAAACTCAGTGCTTGAAGAGCTGTAACTGAGCACATTTTAAAGCCCTCCAACAGGCATCACTGTTTGGAAGTCACTCGGTGCCATCATCTCTTATAAATTGCTATCTATCCCGCCTTTCAAGTGTTTTGGGTGAGAAGGTTCAGAAGCAGTGGCAGGCCACTGCTACCTATAACTCCAGCACTATTGGGCAAAGAGACTTGGAGGTCATGGGGTCTTGCTGGTCTCCAGCCTATCTTTGTTGTCTAAGAGATTCCATCTCAGAGGGATAAAGTAGAAAATGATTGAGCAGATGCGTGCACACACTCAAAAGAGGTTTAAAAACTTTTTTAACCTTATTTGACTTTAAGTAATACAGAACAATCCTTTTCTCTAGTAAAGCATGCAATGCAGCATTTGCTGAAATTTGAAGCACTTCAGAGAGCAGGTGCAAGTCTGTTTGTCCAGCCCTTCAAGGGTTTTGGGTAAGAAGGTTCAGAAGTAGTGAACCTGCTGTTCTGAACTCTTGGTGTGGTCAATACAAAAAGAAAAACAAAAATGTAAATTGTTTCAGCCTCCAGGTAGTTTTCTGAATAACAACAACAAAAATGTTTCTTGTGGGTGTTGTCCCCTACCCCCACCACCAAATCCTGGTATTTTTTTCTCTAGGTCTCCTGAACTTCAGTTCAGGCTTAGGGCCTGCTTGTGCTTGCTCCCTGGGTTCATGTGGCTCTGATATGGCCTTCAGCGCTGCAGCCGTGTCCTGAGATTTTCCTGTAGTTCAATACCTAGTGAGGAGTGTGTACCAGCAGCTGAGAAGCTCTTTAAGGGAAGGGGCTGGGGAGGCCCAGCTCCTCACTACACTAGTTTTCTTACTGGCAATTCAGCAAAAGGCTTATTTTTGACTGGCTTGTTATTTTTTTTTCTTGAAAGCTATAGGCACCTTATTATGCCTTTGCATATGTGCCAGGATTTTTTAAACTTCAAGTGAATGTGGCAGATGTTCATAAAAGTTTAGAAAAAGCTACCATAGGAAGACTTTTTAACCATTTTTATGACACTCAGATTTGTGCACAAAAAGAAACATAAATTATAACCTAGTAGTCTCATTGGAAGGAAGGTTATTTTGAGGGAAGACCTACTTCTAGTCTTCAAGATAGAGCAAGATGCTATTGCTGTTTGCTAAATGGTAACCTTGTCACTATAAAGAGTCCACTTTTCTTCCAAAGTGACAAGTTTGTAGCTGTTCTTCTGTCCTCTCCTTCCTTCTGCCTCTTGATGTTCTTTCTCTCATTTAAGCAATTGGAGGCTAGTGGCAAGTGAACAGAATAGCCGAGGGTATTGGCATAGGCATAACTGCTTCTTGGAGAGAATGATCATGTTAGTTGGCAGCTAGGAAATCACAAAACATGGCCAGATTACATGCTGACTATTTCCTTTCATTCAACTGATCTCAATTTAGTTCAAGACACATTTATTCAGTCCCCCTTCTGTGCCATAACTAGTAGCAGGTGCCAGGTCATGTCTTATAGATGGTACTTCTCCTACTTGTAAATGAAGAGTTTCCTCACATGCTTCAAAACAGTGGTCTGTGCAAACCTTAGAGTGACATGGGGAGGAGGTGCATCTAGAAGTTGTTCTGTGTCACACTCTTGATGGTAGCATGGTCAGGAAGGTGGAGCGAAAGGTGATAAGGATGACATGTTTCTGAAGAGAGGCTCAGAATAACCTGTAATTGAGACCCTGCTGTATATATGCAAAGGTGGGATGTTTACAATGTGGGTACTGGGGTCTGGCTTCCTACTTTTTACTCAGGTGATCTTGGGTGAGGATACCAACTGATGAGCCTCTTGTTTTCTCACCACAAACTGAGGGTAAGTGCTGAGTCCCCTGTATTTAATCCTTGGGAGGGTCTGGTGAGACAGTACAGTGCCCAGTACATAAAGCACTCCATATAATCAGTAGTCATGACTGATTCTCTTTATTCAGTGCCTTAAAGTCACTTATATTGCTAAGCTGCTGGCTTTGAAATAATGATATGGGAACTCTTAGGTTTTCCCAGAGAAACAGTCTTAGCAAAATAGGCTTGTACCTACCTGGTGTCCCCCGGTTTGCGCTGTCCCAGAGTTGGGAATATTCAATCAGTGTCTTTCAGACCCCTGCCTGATCACACCCTCACATTTGGCTTTGGTTTTGGTTTTTCCTTGAGGAGTTCTGGCAGTATATTTATGGCTCTGTGTAAGTGCTGGATTTCTTGAACTTCCAGAGAATGTGGCAGTTGTGATACTTGGTCTCTCTGGGTCTTAATGTCTTCATCTAACAGAGCATGTTAAGTCCTATAGGTGTTTAGCATGTCTCATTGTCTTGCCTGGGGCAGGGACATGGTACACAGCCCTTTCCACAGTCAGGTGTTGAGAGGCTTTTATGCTCTAGGTTCCTTATCTCATAGTGGTCATGCCTGGTCTCTACCTTCTTGGAGGTTTGCCTGGAGCAGATGCAGACAGGTAGAAGTAAAAAGGTGAATTTGGGTTGACATCGACTGTCC